GCCCACTTCCAGCAGCTCGGGCCCCCCGCCCCTGGCGCCACCAGCAACGTGAGTTACTTTTCCCAGCCCCTCCCTGGGACGGGGAGAGCCAGATGCCACGGGGATAGGATCTAGGAAGGTGTGGGGGCTTAGTTAGGAGAAGGAATGGGGGACAGGCCACTCCTCACAGACTCACCTGGTTTCAACCCCCTCGACAGGTGTGCCCAACTTGCCCCATGATGCTCCCCAATCGCTGCAGCTTCAGCGCCCACCAGCGCATGCATAAGAACCGACCTCCCCACGTCTGCCCTGAGTGTGGAGGCAACTTTCTCCAAGCCAATTTTCAGACCCACCTCCGGGAGGCCTGTCTGCATTTTTCTCGCCGCGTAGGATACAGGTGCCTCCCATCTCTCCTCCCCATAGTCCCTCAACACTTTTCCTCCAGTACTTGGTGGTCTCGTGGCTCCTGGGACCAGCCTTTCAGATGGCCTCTCACGGAGGCGAGCCCCATCTCTCCTGTTGAATCACTCAGCCCCGGTGTGTTAGCAAACGCAGCCAGAGCGCTCTCTGCCTTCCCTTCGTTCCCCACAGAGATGGAGCAGGCGGGGCCCCCTCCGGAGCATCAGCTCTGCCTCTCTGCCCCCGCAGGCCTCCCTTGGAGAACTGGGTGCTGCAGCTCCCTCCGTCCTCCAGTTGCCTGGGTTCCACCGCTGATTAACTCCTTAGAGTCCACCCAGCCCCCGAGAATGAGTGTGGGGTTGGAGGTGGCCGTGGAGATGCCCGCAGCTCACCACGGTGCCTCCTACTTACTCCCCAAGGTGCCCCAGCTGTGCAGTGGTGTTTGGGGGTGTGAACTCCATCAAGTCCCACATCCAGACGTCACACTGCGAGGTTTTCCACAAGTGCCCCATCTGCCCCATGGCCTTCAAGTCTGCACCCAGCGCCCACGCCCACCTCTACACCCAGCATCCTAGCTTCCACACGCAGCAGGCCAAGTGAGACCTGGGGAGGGAGCGTGAGGAGGGGCGGGTGGAGGGGGCTGGGCCTCGACGGGGCAGGATGTCTGCACTGTCTTCTCCACCCACCCAGGATGATCTACAAGTGCGCCATGTGTGACACAGTCTTCACTCACAAACCCCTCCTCTCCTCGCACTTCGACCAGCACTTGCTGCCCCAGCGTGTCAGCGTCTTTAAGTGCCCATCTTGTCCTCTGCTTTTTGCCCAAAAAAGGACCATGCTGGAACATCTCAAGGTACAGGGGTCGAGGGATGGAGGTGGGGTGCTCAGCTGTGTTGACCAGGGACCCCTCCGGAAGTGGGAGGGGCAAAGCCAGGCCCTCCCCCACACCAGCCATCCCCCCTTGTCTCCCTCTCACAGAACACCCATCAGTCTGGGCGCTCGGGGGAGGAGACGCCTGGGAAAGGGGCCGGGGGTGCCCTTCTGACCCCCAAGACTGAGCCTGAGGAGCTGGCTGTGTCTCGGGGAGGAGCAGCTGCCCCTACTGAGGAGTCTTCTTCATCCTCAGAAGAGGAAGAACTGCCCAGCTCCCCCGAGCCCCCTCGCCCAACCAAACGGCCCCGGCGAGAACTGGGGAGCAAAGGCGTCAAGGGCGGGGGTGGGGGCCCTGGAGGCTGGACCTGTGGCCTTTGTCACTCCTGGTTCCCTGAGCGTGACGAGTATGTGGGTCACATGAAGAAGGAGCATGGCAAGGTGAGCGGGGTGCCCCTGGGGAGCAAGATGGGCTTGGAGGGGCAGCATTGGGATTGACCTGTGTGGCGGTGGAGATGGGGTGCTGCATGGAGCCTGGCTGAGACCCCCGACCCCTGCTCTCCTAGTCAGTGAAGAAGTTTCCCTGCCGCCTGTGTGAGCGCTCCTTCTGCTCCGCCCCCAGCCTGAGGCGCCACGTCAGGGTCAATCACGAGGGTATCAAGCGAGTTTACCCATGCAGGTAACCCTTACCCCCTGGCCCCCTTCCTCTTTTCTGTCCGGCAGGGTGCCCCCAACCCTGGTTCCCCACAGTACCTTCCCACCTGCCTCTTAGGTCTGAGTGGACTGACAGTTGAGGCCTCCCTCTGCTCAAGCCATGAGCCTTGGTCTTTGGGCTGTGCCGCTGGAGCCCACCCCGCCCGCTCTCCCCTTTAGGTATTGCACAGAGGGAAAACGCACCTTCAGCAGCCGCCTGATCCTGGAGAAACACGTCCAGGTCCGGCACGGCTTGCCGCTCGGGGCCCAGTCCCCTGGCCGGGGGAATGCCCTGGCTCGGGGCCCTGGTGCCAGATCCCAGGTAGGCAGAGGCCCACCTGCTGCATGAGGGCTGTGGGAGCAGGAGCCTGCGCGGTTATAGCCGAGGCCTCAGGAAGCTGGGCAGGGGTGCCAGGGATGGTGGGGGGGTGACGGGGAGGCCCGGTTTCTTCACTCTCTTCTCCAGGGGCCGGGACGGAAACGCCGCCAGTCCTCTGACTCTTGCAGTGAGGAGCCTGACAGCACGACACCTCCAGCCAAGTCCCCCAGGGGCGGCCCCGGGGCGGGAGGCCACGGCCCCCTGCGCTACCGGAGCAGCAGCTCAGCGGAGCAGAGCCTCATGGCGGGGTTGAGGGTGGATGGCGGTGCCCAGCAGTGCCTCGACTGCGGCTTGTGCTTTGCCTCCCCTGGCTCCCTGAGCCGGCACCGTTTCATCAGCCACAAGAAGAAACGGGGTGTGGGGAGTGCCAGTACCCTGGGCCTGGGGGATGGGGAGGAAGAAACCCCCCCTCCTTCCAGGTCTGACCCAGAGGGGGGAGATTCACCCTTGCCAGCTTCTGGAGGCCCACTGACATGTAAGGTCTGTGGCAAGAGCTGCGACAGCCCTCTCAACCTCAAGACCCATTTCCGCACACACGGCATGGCGTTCATCAGGGCTCGGCAAGGGGGCAGTGGGGACAACTAGGGCCCAGGCCTGGACTCACTAGCCCCCTCTCTCTTCCTTGGGAGCCTGGGTCACTGCTGCTGCCTGGTCCCTGGGCTGGGGAGTTCCATTAGAATTCATGTTTTGTTCAACAACTCTCCCGCTAACCCACAAGGACAAGCTTTTTTGAGAATGGTAGTTATTTGAGGTTCCTGCCTTGGTCTGACCCTTGGGTCCTAGTAGAGTGGGTCCTCCATTCCTTCTTTCTGAGCCCAACACTAATTATTTTCTTGCTGCAGCCCCCCATGTGGGACGGGGCGGGGGGCGTGGGAGGACGGGAAGGCCCAATGCTGGGGTGGTCAGGGGCACTCTCCTCAACCCCTGTGGGCACAGATGGCAGCCCTGGCCTTGCCCTAGTGCCCCCCTGAGACTCCCTGGCACTCAAGCCCTCCACCCCTGCAGTGCCTTTCACTTTTTTTTTTTTTCCCCCAGAAATCCGGGGGGGGGGGGGGGGGGTTGGTGGGCTCCCCTGAGAGCTATGCAGTGAGTTCCACCCTAAGGAATGGGTCTAGGCCTTGGGGGGTACCTTGGGTTTGAAGGCGATGATTTTGAGCACCATCTCAACAGTGAAGAGACCAGTGAAAACCATGTTGAGGATGTCCATGACATAGTTGAAGGGAGCAGTCTGCTCATAGTGCTGGGGGAGAAAATCAGATGTGGGGACATAGCCTGAGGCAGAGATTCCCCCCGACACCCCAACCAAATATTCTCTGTCTTGGACTGAGGTAAGTCTGGGGACGTGGTAGCACTATGGGTTGGCCAAACCTCTCACACTGTCCACCTCCCATTATGGATATTGGAAAGCCCAGCCCTTGATTTCCTAGCTTTTCTTGCAGCTGGTTCTGACTAATGAGACAGAAACATAAGCTTGCTGCTGCTTGGGCAGCTTCTGTGAAAAATATTTTTGATTTCCAATAAAAGGGTCAAGTGAGGAGAGCCCCTCGGTGCAAGCTTCCTTCCTTTTTCCTTCTCTGAATGTGGTTTTGATGTCTGGAACTGTGGCAGCCATCTTGTGACCATGAAGCAACAATCATGAGCATGAAAGCCAACTTACTCAGAATAGTGGAACAGAAAGAGAGCCTGGGTCCCTGATGAGCAATGAGCAAACAGCCTACCTCTGTACTGCTTGCTATGTGAGGTAACTATCATAATTCATTGACTCCAAGGATACACATCTTTTCACAGTTTAGAATCTCTGAAATTGGGGTGCATTTCACAGTAAATGACAACTTACATTTGCCATCTGCCATTTTTTCCACATTCTCACATCTCTGAAATCAGGATACAACTTATGATTATCGGCCTTTGATTTGAATATATGTGGCACATATCTTTAAAGCTTAAGTCTCTGTCAGTTGGGGGTTTTGTTACTTGCAGCCTAAAGCATTCCTGACAGTTCTCAAGGATTTGTGCAGACAGAATAGGGTCAGGTGTCTGGCGGGATCAGGGTGGGGAGCTCAGACCTGCATGGCTAGAGCAACCGTGTTGAGCAGGATGAGCAGGAACATGAGATACTCGAAGGCAGCAGAGTTCACAGTGGCCCACACCCGATACTGATTCGGGTTCTTGGGGATATAGCGGCGGAGTGGCTGGGCCTTGAGGGCATACTCCACACACTGGCGCTGCATATAGGTGCAAGGCATGAGTGAGCAGTGGGGTCCCGAGGCAAGGAGCTGGGGGGGGGGTGGGGGGTTGGTGGAGACGAGTCCTGTCAAGGGGGTCCCAGGGAGAGGAGGGGACAGGCTCTCAGGAATCCTTTATTCTTGTAGTAATAATAATACTAACAAACAGTGGGGGAAATGGGAAGGAGAAAACCAGACCATTAAAACTGCTCGTGGTTTAATCCCCATTCAAGCTCCTCTTTTTATGTGACTTAGACAATGTGGACGAGTCTGGGAGGGGGTGAGTGACAAAGCTGGGAAGGCCCTTCAGGGAAGTGGTGGTATTGACTGAGACAGGCAGGGAAAAAGCAATCTTCCTCCACCTCGTTCTGTGTGGTGCCTTTTGTATCCTGGACACTGAGGCATCTGTTCACTCCCTACCCCTGAAAAAAAATACAACTCAGAAATGACACAGATGGCTAACTAAGGACTTTATTTCAAACAAAAATTAAAAATTAAAAATTGAGAGCTATTTCCCTGGGTGTGGGGAAAGGATAAGGGCAAGGAATTCCCCATGGCTAGGCCAATACCCTCAGACTGGAGGGGCTGTGATCATTCCCTTCCTCACTCCTGGGATGGGGAACCTCAGCAAGTGCAGGACCCTATGCCAAAGCCCACCTACCAAGGGGAACTCGGGCTAGGGGTTAGTCCCTGGGAGGTGACAGAGTCGGGCAGCAGCATGGCCGAAGGCCAACCACAGGATCAAGTCCTTAGTACCAAGAACCTACTCTTTCCTCCTTCCTGGGACCCAGGACACATTAGGACGGCCTGCGGAAAGAACCTCTCGAACCCTAGTGAGGAGAAGAAAGGCCCTAGTGTCCCTCACATTTATCACTTCTGTTCTCTGGAGGGCAGTGAGCCCTGGAGTCTGTCAGGTGGTAATACTGACACAGCTGGTGGGGGGTGGTAGGAAAGCCCCAGCGAGTCTGGACCCCACGGCTGGTTCTCCCAACCCCCCTGGCAAGCTCTACAGTTACCACATGATCCTCTGTATTTCTTGCCTTCCATTTCCCTTGGTGGATGGCTGGGTGGGTGGGGCTTCCTGGTTTAGGGTTTCTCTGACAAGGGCCTTCCCAGGGAGGGTCCCCTGAATCCCCCACTGCTCCGGGGCCTGAGAAGGAGGATGTCACATGATGCCGTTGGTGAGGTACTGGAAGCCATCGTAGAGTTTGGTGGTTATAGACCGCATGCTGCCATCCACCATCTGCTCCACCAGCAGCTGGAGCTGCTCCTCAGTCATGCTCATGTGGAACCTCTCCTTGAGGTTGCGGATGGTACTGGAGCCGTGGAAGCAAGGAAGCTGAGAACCTGGGGGCAGCAGCAAGGGAAGAGGGTCACGGATGGAAAGGAGGGAGCGGCAGTGCTAACAGCCGCCACAGCCAGTGCAGAGCCGGGCTATCTAAGGTGCCCCTTCCCTCCCACCTCAGAGAGATCCCTGACAGTGTGGATGCAGTTCTGCTTGGGCAGAGAAGGGAGAATTGGCAGGAGGCCCTTCTTGAGCCCTTCTTTATCCCACAATCCTAAGCCACTCTAGGTGAGGGCACGAGGGTAGAGGGCCAACACATCTCCCCCAGTAAGGGCGGAGGGAGCAGCCTTAGGACCCAGAGGGAAGGCTGGGAAGCGTCTAGGGATTGGGCCCTGAACTGGGCACTTATCTGCTTGCAGGCCTCTGCCTATGCTACGTCTGACACTCACAGATGACCTGGGCCACCGTCATCACGGTGCTAGACGGGGATGCTCCTGAGCAACAGCGACAGCCTGTGGGGTGGGGGCAGGGATGGGGAGGAGGATAGTGGCAGCTCAGACCGGGTGGACACCACAGCCTTGAAGGAATGGGGACGAGGGCCCAGGGATCCTGGACAAAAGACTAGATGGCAAGGCCATGAGGAAACAGCAGTGAAAGTAGATAAAGATGAGAGAGGAACCCATCTTGGCTCAGAGCAGAAGGGCTGAGTGTCAGGACAGGGAAGAGGTCTGAGGAGAGGGCAATCAGAGGTCAAAGGCCAATGACTGCAAACACCTGAGTTGGTGAAGAGCCGAGAGATCAAAGTTAAACAAGGGGTGGGGAGATGAGAAGGGACCAGGAGGCTGGAGATGGGACTGTTCTTTCCCTGAATGCACCTAGGAGGTAGTTTCTGCTGCCTCACCCTCCCACCCCCAGGACTAGCTCTGTCAGGAATCAGGGGGAATGTGCCGAAGGTGAAACAGGGCACCGGGTCAGAGCCGGAAACCCTCTGGGACGCCCCGCCCCCAGTCTTGAGGTGTAATCAACTTTCTGGAGGTTCCATGCCCCAGGGCCCCAACGTAAGTGGGAATCCCAGGGCACTATGGGTACCACCCTATCGCCAAACGCCTGGCTTCTCCCCAGCCCCACCTTGCTGCATGATCTCCACGATCTGCACCACCTTATCCATGTGTTTCCGAGCAGCAATCAGCCCCTGCAGCATCAGCATCTTGTAGTAGTTGAACATGTCGCCATCCAGGCCGCCCATCACCTGGGAGGAGAGGAGAGAGCTGTGTGCGCAAAGGGGCTCAGTGTCAGAACTTCCTCCCTTGGGCAAACGTGCCAAACTCCGTTACTTCCACAACTCTCATCAAGCAGGAAGCCTCCCAGGACATCCAACCTCACCCTGACTTATTGCCATTTCTGTTCTGTTTGTCCCCATTTGGGGGGGAGCCCATCAGCTCCCCATCCCACGACAGAAAGAACACAGTGAGACACCTCTCCTTCCTGACTCACGTCTACAAACTCTGTGGTCAGCTTAAAGGCTGATGTCTCAAAGCCCAGGTTTCGGGGTGAGCTGGACAGGATGAAGCCAAAGTCGATGTGGATGATGTGGCCTTCTGCGTCCAACAGGATATTCCCATTGTGTCTGAGGAGGGGGCAGAGGAGAGGAAGAGGCAGTAGTAAGTCCCACTGAGGTGGGAGCTTCAAGCTGCAACACACTGGCCACATGACACCAGGCAAGGGCCCTGCCATGTTTCCTGCTGCCTATAACTCTGGGTCCAATCTTCTAGAAGCCAAAGCTAGCAGTGAGAAGAAAGGAAATCAGAAAAGTAAACTGCTAACAAAGGCTGTGGGGTCTCATTTGCTATCATTAACAGCTTAATCAAATAGGTTAAGATTATCCAAATTTCCCAGTAATTGTGATTCTAAGCACCCAAGCCAATCCCAATCTAGCAGAGAACTGGGAAGCTAGGAAAGAAGGCCTCTGCCCTCCAACCAGCTGTTACAGAGGCCAAGCACTTGGCTTAGGGGGAGGCCTCCAGTCACAACCTAATTACCTGTATTCTGTTTGTAATTCCAATCGGCCCATTGCAGATCAGAAGCCCCACCCCACCGGAAGGGAGCAGAGATCCCAGGCTGAGTGGAGTTTAAATGTGAAATAGTCTGGGGCTTCAGTTTTAACTATCTGGTAAAACCACTTATGTAAAAAAATTCTCAGGAGGCAATTCCTACAGGCTAGCTGCTGGAAGAACAGTTAAAGGCAGATAAATCCTAGGTGTCTGTGATTCCCACATGAATGGCCAGTCGAAAGAGGAACAATTAACATGCAAAGCATGTGAGGCCTGGCCCATAACGGACCTCCTCAGTGTCAACAGAGGCTTTGTTAGGCTAAGAGCTCACGGTCTGAAGCCACCTTCTCTGGGGTTGGTCTGACTGGCCAAAAGATGGGACAGAGGGAGAACCCAGTCCCACCCGAGTCCTTCCCCCTCTGGGAAAGCATGACAAATTTAGCAACACACACAATCTTGAAAGCCAGAAAGTTCTAGATGTCCTAGTCCAGTCTCTCATTTTACAGGTGAGAGGTGAGAAAACAGGCCCTGAGAGGAAAACTGACTTACTTGTCCAAGGTCCCAGGCCAGTGAGAGGCAGTTTCTCTCTCTCCTTAAGTGCTGGAGTTAGCTCCAGCCGCAAAGCTACAGGGGACTCATTCTGAAGCAGTTAAGGAGACCTTCAACTGCTTCCAGCTTGGGGCCCCCTTCACTGCTGCCACTTCTCTCCAGTGGATGAGTCCATTCATTACTTGACTACATCTACGCTTTTTTGAGTTATGAAAGGTTTACCAGCTGCCTGTCCCCCTCTCCCCCTTTTAAAGCATGGACTCCCATCTTCCAAATATATTAGTCTCCTAAGGAAAAGCCCAGAGGCCTGACTAGCACCTGCTTCTCTGCTTCCACTTACTCAACCCAGGGGTTCAGGCTCCAGACTTTCTGGGCCCTGGGTTCCAAATGCTGACTCTTTAGGGACAGTCTAAAGTTTGCAACCAGATTCCTTATAAATAATGACGTTTCCCTCAGTCCTCAAATGCAAAGCCTCTGCTGGCTTTATCTGTAAGGCTGGCAGGGTGGAAGGAGCACAGGTTCTGAAAGTTCCCTGACCCTTATTTCCCTCCTGAGGAAACACCTGTCTGACAGCATTTTCATCTGGTTTCAATATAAGAATGTCAGGCCAAACAGGCCCGTGAAAAGATGCTCAACATTGCTAATTATTAGAGAAATGCAAATCAAAACCAAGATGAGGTAACACCTCATACCAGTCAGAATGGCCATCATCAAAAAGTCTACAAATAATGAATGCTGGAGAGGGTGTGGAGAAAAGGGAATGTAAACTGGTGGAGCCACTATGGAAAACAGTATGGAGGTTTCTTAAAAAGCTAAAATTAGGACTTCCCTGGTGGCACAGTGGTTAAGAATCTGCCTGCCAAAGCAGGGGACACGGGTTCAATCCCTGGTCCAGGAAGATCCCACATGCTGCAGAGCAACTAAGCCCGTGTGCCACAACTACTGACCCTGCATACCACAACTACTGAGACTGTGTGCCACAACTACTGAAGTCTGCACACCCTAGAGGCCGTGTTCCACAACAAAGAGAAGCCACCACAATGAGAAGCATGTGCACCGCGGCGAAGAGCAGCCCCCATTCACCACAACTACAGAAAGCCCGTGTGCAGCAAAGAAGACCGAACACAGCCAAAAATAAGTAAATAATAAAATAAAATAAAACTATTAAAAAAAACCCCTAAAATTAGAGTTATCATATGATCCAGCAATCCCCCTCCTGGGCTGTATCCGGAAAAGACAAAAACTCTAATTAGAAAAGATACATGCACTGGACTTCCCTGGTTGTGCAGTGGTTAAGAATCTGCCTGCCAATGCAGGGGACACGGGTTCAAGCCCTAGTCCGGGAAGATCCCACATGCTGCGGAGCAACTAAGCCCATGCGCCACAACTACTGAGCCTGAGCTCTAGAGGTGGTGAGCCACAACTACTGAAGCTCGCATGCCTAGACCCCATGCTCCACAACAAGAGAAGCCACCGCAGTGAGAAGCCCATGCACCGCAATGAAGAGTAGCCCTCGCTTGCAGCAACTAGAGAAAGCCCACACTCAGCAACGAAGGCCCAGCACAGCCAAAAATAAATTAATTAATTAATTTAAAAAAAGAAAAGATACATGCACCTCAATGTTCACTGCAGCATTATTTACGATGTGTGTATGTACGTACACACACACACACACACACACACACACACACACACACACTGGAATATTACTCAGCCACAAAAAAGAATGAAATAATGCCATCTGCAGCAACAGGGATGGACCTAGAGATCATCATACTAAATGAAGTCAGTCAGAAAGACAAATATTATGTGGTATCACTTCTATGCAGAATCTAAAAAACTAATACAAATGAACTTATTCACAAAACAGAAACAGACTCACAGACACAGAAAACAAATTTATGATTACCAAAGGGGAAGCGGGCAATAAATTAGGAGTACGGGATTAACAGATACACACTACCATACATAAAATAAACAGGGGCTTTCCTGGTGGTGCAGTGGTTAAGAATCCGCCTGCCGGGCTTCCCTGGGGGCGCAGTGGTTGAGAGTCCGCCTGCTGATGCAGGGGACACAGGTTCATGCCCCGGTCCGGGAAGATCCCACATGCCGTGGAGCGGCTGGGCCCGTGAGCCATGCGCGTCCGGAGCCTGTGCTCCGCAACGGGAGAGGCCGCAACGGGAGAGGCCACAACGGTGAGAGGCCTGCGTACCGCAAAAAAAAAAAAAAAAAAAAAAAAAAAACCCCCCCCTGCCAATGCAGGGGATACGTGTTCGAGCCCTGGTCCTGGAAGATCCCACATGCTGCGGAAGCAACTAAGCCCGTGCACCACAACTACTGAGCCTGCGCTCTAGAGCCTGCCTGCCACAACTACTGAGCCCCCGTGCCACAACTACTGAAGCCCACGCACCTAGAGCCTGTGCTCTGCAACAGGAGAAGCCACCGCATTGAGAAGCCCACACACCGCAGTGAAGAGTAGCCCCTGCTCGCTGCAACTAAAAGAAAGCCCGCACGCAGCAATGAGAAACCAATGCAGCTAAATAATAAAATAAATTAATTAAAAAATAATAATAATAAAATAAACAAGGATTTACTGTATAGCACAGGGAAGTGCAGTTAATATCTTATATAAACCTATAATGGAAAAGAATCTGAAAAAGAATATGTATGTGTGTGTGTGTGTGTGTATACCTGAATCCCTTTGCTGTACACCTGAAACTAACACAATATTGCAAATCAACTATACTTCAATTAAAAAAAAAAAAGAATGTTACGCCATCATAGGCACTTAATAGATGCTAGATTTCTGATAAGCGGCTCTGTTTAGCTGATCTTAAGGTGCTGCCGTATCACTGGAAGCACAGGCCACTGAATTAGTGCTTTCTCAGGACAGCTGCCCTATGCCCTCGGAGAGGCACAACTCACAGGAGCATTCTAGGTATTGACCCTGAGTCACTGTCTGGAGACTGTCTTAAAAAGCAGAGCCTCAAGGGTGTAATTATCTTTATACGGTATGTTGTTCATCTACATGCAAAGTTGAGCTTCATAAAGGTCACATGATATCGAGAGAAATGACAGCTCTGGGCAAAACAACAGATATGTAAGAGTTTTGGAAATCATATGTTGGAACGAGGAGAAGCGTTTAGGGCTGGGAGTTTCAACTCTGTGTCCACCATGTGTCTCACATCCATCTGCTCCTTTCTGCCGTCAGTCACCACCACTGCCCTCAGGCCAGGCCTCACTACCTCTAGCTTCACTGCAAAGGCCCACTTACATCCAACCTCATCCACAGTGACAAAGGGCACATTCACTCAACACAGACTGGATCATGGCATTCCCTCTGCCTGCAGAATAAAACTCCTCAGCCTCATAATGAAGGCCCCACTAATCTGGCCTCAACTTATCTGACGTCACTGTTACTACTGTGCCATGCAGTGTGGCCCAAGCTTTAATCACCTCGAGCGGTCTCCTCTGCCTGGGACATCCTTCCCCCACAGCTTTCTCTGTCCTCATTCTCATTCGTCCTTCAAAACCCTGCTTGCTCAAACCCTTGCTCCTCCCATAAATCCTTCACTTCTTTGGCCCTTACCCTGGTACTTGTCAGTCTGCCTCCTAGTCTTAATGGCACATGAACGTGTCTGTCTCTGCTTAAAATATGTTGTTTGTTTCATCTTTACATTTTGGCAATGGAAGGTCATGACGAATAAATGAAGGGACAGAGGGAACCCTGAAGAAAAGGTTAGGACAAGGGACAGGAATTCACCTACCTGTCCTTGACTTGCAGCAGGTAGCAGACCAAGCAGTAGCCAGCACAACTCTGCACAAAATTGCGCTGGGCACTGAGGAATGCCTCAGTAGTGTAACTGCCATGCTCCTGCAGGAAGTAATCGAGCAAGGAGAGCTGTGACTGTTTCTTCACCTGGTGGATAGACACAGCATTGACCACTGGTTCAATCATGCCACTGTCGGCCGAAATCACAAGAATCTTGTATGGCTTGATCCACAGGGGTACTCGCTCCTGTTCCCAAATGGACTGTGAGGAAACACAGAGGCATTGTGACTCTCTCTAAATGGGGGGAGGAGGCTAAAATCCCCTCTGTCCCCAACCTTGGACAGTTCCCATCTTTAGTGGCCTTGAATTCTAGGCCACCAAGTAAAACCCCCTGATCCCACTGAGAACCAGGAAGTTTTGTGTGTGTGTGTGTGTGTGTTATGCGGGCCTGTCACTGTTGTGGCCTCTCCCGTTGTGACAGGCTCCGGACGCGCAGGCTCAGCGGCCATGGCTCATGGGCCCAGACGCTCCGCGGCATGTGGGATCTTCCCGGACCGGGGCACGAACCTGTGTCCCCTGCATCGGCAGGCGGACTCTCAACCACTGCGCCACCAGGGAAGCCCAGAACCAGGAAGTTTTGAAAGGAAGTCCAGGGTGTGACAAGACACAGGGTGGCATATGGGAAAAGGTATCTCATAGAGAGATATCCAAAAAAGGGAGGGAGAAGAGGAAACCTCGCTGTCACCTCCCAAGTTGGGTGAGTGGGACCTATTAACTCAAGTTGAAAGAACAGGGATAAAGACCAAACAGGATTTAGGGTCAGAGAAAGTTTCTCCAGAAAATGAAAATATTTATATAAAGAACTGATTAAACAGGTGAAGTTGCTTGTAGGCAACTAACCTGGGGGTCAGGGATTGACATCTCAGCCCACTGCAACCCACTTGCTGCAAATCAGTTGGGAGTTCCCATCAGTGATTAGAACAGGTGCCAGTCACAAAAGGGCCACAAGAGGTCGCTGTAGAGCTGCTCCCGGGGCTGTACTTCCTGGTAGGAGCACCAGCTTAGTTTAACGTAAATCTAACTTAGACCTGGGCAGGAAGATGGTCTCCAGTGGAGCTCCCTGCAGATGGACCTGCGTGATCACCTCAGGTGGGCTGCAGATGGGCTGAGTTTCCCTTCTTTCTCCCTCCCTTCTCTTACCTGCAGTTGCTTCAACACCTGGAAGGCCAGCAGCTCCTGCCGAAGGTCATCCCCACACTTGACAATGACTGACAGGAGCCGCCAATTGGGGAGATGGCCATAGGGGGAGCCCTCTCTAATGCGCCTGTGAAGAGAAGCAAAAAGGTGTCAAAGGGTGATGCCAGGTTGAGGACAGAGGCACGGCTTCTATCAAAAATCCAAATCAAACTCCTCACAAGGTAAGGACTCAGACCGTCACCTGGGGGCCTGATGGATTTTGCCGGCGGGTGTTGGGCTGAGAGACAGTATGGATGGTGGACCCCACTCAACTCACCGCACTTTCTCCTGCCAGGGCTCTTTGAGAGCAACTGCAGAAGGGTCTTCTGGGTCTCGTTTGAAGGCTGTGGGGGTGTGAGCCAGCTGCTCCGAAAGGCGCCGTCTAGCAGGAAGAAACTATATCATTTGCTTGGAGGAGTTACCCCAGATCCTCATGTCCCTGTCTATGCCAGCATTTCCTGCACTGTTTCCTTGATTCTGGGCACACAGAGATAGAAACCTGGGCTGAGAGAGACTCATGGAAGACTGATATCTTTTTGCTAACCTGGTGATTTGTAATCATGTTCAATGCAGATTACCAGGCCCTGCCCATTCTCCTACCAAGATTCTGCATTCAGAACAGGTGTGGCTCCCGCATCTGCATTTCCAACAAGATCTCCTCCCTCTCCCTGGACTCTGACACGTGTGTCCTCAGACCCACTCTGGGAAACGCTGTTGTAATTCCTTCCTCTGGTGCTTTCATTCCTTTGGAGTCCTTTTAAAATGTAACTTCTTTCTGTAGTAGTCCAGTAATTTCTCAACCCACACCTTCAATGCCTCAAGTTTGGTGGCCTCAGGACATGGACAGAGTAAGGAGAGAGAAGAGGGAAGGATACAGGCTGACAGAGAGGAAGGGGACAAAGAGAAAGGCAGTGCCTAAGAGAGGGATGAGAAATGACGGGCAACATGGTCTGGCCATACCGGATGTCGCCTGCTGCAATGAACACAGGCTCCTTGCTCTCCTGGCTGGTGATGCTGTCCACGGAGAACTGGGAGATGTTGTCACAGCTGTTGGTGTGCACTTCAGGGAGCTGGGGAGAGCAGGGGACTGCAGGTCAGAAGGACTGAGCACAGGGGTTGCCTCTTTCACCTCCTCCTCAGATCACCCTGCGTGCTGCCATCTCCAAGACACGATCAGCCCTCCCTTCCAAACCCTGCTCCAAAAAGCCTCCCCTGGTTATGCACCATCCTGACCACTTGGACCCCAAACTGCCTAGGCCCCCACCACACAGATCCTCTAGCAGTGTTTTTCAATGTGTCAACTACCTGCATCAGAATTACCTGGAATGCTGCTAAAACGTAGATTCCCAAACCCCACCATCAATCTGAATTAGAATTACTGGGAATGGGATCTGGAAGTCTGAATTTCTAACAAGTTCTCCAGAAGACTTCTAACGCACTCAAGCTTGCAAACCACTGCCATGACCATCACAGAAAGTTGAACTTTCAGCCTTATATTGAGAGCTCCCCAAGGCCAGGGATGCATTCTCCCTTAGGGTCCAGAAAAGACCCTCTCCAGGCTAGGTTCCTCTGAGCAATTTCTTCAACCTAAGTCATTCAGTCTTATCTTCCCATCTCTCTCTAACTATAAAATATTCTACCAGACCCCAAGGTCCATATCAAGTCCCTTCTTTACTCTTTCCTTTGTACAAGTGCATTTCTCCTTAACCCCGTTGATCACTTACTGCACACTGCCTTGTTGTATATCTTATACATAGATTTTTTTCTTCAATGTCTGCATCCAGTCTCCCCATTTGGACTGTAAGCTCAAGCGCAGAGTCTGCCTTTTCACAAAGTGAAACTGGCTGTGCTACAGCTCTAATAAAATCTTGCTCTGGATCCCTACAACCCCAGAAGAAAATCCAAGTTTCTTTCCACAGCTTACAGGATCCTTCTTACAATCTGGCCCATGACGGCCTCTCCAGCCTCATTCTTCACCAACTCCTCATCTCATGACCACACATCACAGCCACACAAAATTTCTTTCTATTCTTAAAATGGGCCAAGCTCTCTCATGTCTTCCAGTCTTTGCACTTGCTGTCTCCTCTGCCTGGAATACTCTGTACAGCTAATTCCTACCTACCTGCAGGCCTCAGCTGAGATATTATTTCCTCCAAGAAACCTTTCAGGGCATGTCCAATCCCAAGTCTGAAATAAGTGCTACCTCCACCCTCAGGTGCTCCCATGATACCCCATCCTCTCCGGCACAACCTGGATCACACCACACTACATCTACCTACTGACTGGCCTTGTTCTCTCTCCTATTAGGTCATAAGCCCCTTGTAGGCAGGGGCCAAGCCTTGTTTACTAGCACACAGCACTCAGGGCTGGCACAATGGCCCTCCATAAACATTCCTTGAATGAATGAATGTATGACTGATTCTTCTCTGCATTCCTAAGACAACTTTATATCGCAGGTGTTCAATATATATTTTGATTAAATTTTTCACACTCCCCTGGGCTTAGAAGTTCCTTCTTACAGTAAGCCTAAATTCTTCTTGCAGGAAAACGAGCTCCACCTGAATCTGTTCCAGACCAGAGCTGTTCAGAGCTGTCCCCTCTCACACCTGTCACTACCGACGGCACTCATTTGGGTACTTGCTTCAGCCTGCCTCAGGGTGTGTTGTGTTGTCTCAAATACGTTGAAAGTTCCAGAATAGGTGCTGTGCCCTTGGAGCTCCCTCACCTCCACCTGCAGCTCGCCTATGTCATCCACCGACCAGGCCTCATCATCGTTGTCATAGTTGGGCACAGTGCTGAAGCTGCCTGCCCGCTGCTCGTGGGTGATGCCGCATTCGGGCAGGTTCTCTACAGACCGGGTGCTACGAATTCGGTTCTCCGGGATCCGGGCGGGGACGTTGGTGGTGTCGAAGTTTTCACATTCGAGGACTTCCACATAGATCAGGTAGGGAGCCTGCGGGTAAGTGAGAACAGTATTTGCAACTTACCTCCACCACTGTTCCCCCCAAACCTCAACTCTGCTAACATGGTTCTTCCTGCTGCCCACTCCTGCTCCAACCTGAGTCCATCAGTCCCCTGACATCAGGAATG